ACTTCTGGCCCGGGCCTAACGAGAATAGGGTGCTATTTGGGACGCACACCATCAGACCAGACTGATTTAGGAGCCTCCCACCCCATTCCTGTTCCTCCTCTCTACCCTGAACCCATGATTACATTTCTAATGAACCCTGCTATTTTAGGCTAGAATGGGTAGGTAACAACACATCTGCCACGCTGATCCTCAACACAGGGGGCCCCTCAGGGGTGTGTGCTCAGTCCCCTCCTGTACTCCCTGTTCACCCATGACTGCATGGCCAGGCACGACTCCAACACCATCATTAAGTTTGCAGACGACACAACAGTGGTAGGCCTGATCACCAACAACCGATGAGACAGCCTATAGGGAGGAGGTCAGAGACCTGGCCGTGTGGTGCCAGGATAACAACCTCTCCCTCAAAGTGATCAAGACAAAGAAGATGATTGTAGACTACAGGAAAAAGAAGAGGACCGAGCACACCCCCATTCTCATAGACGGGGCTGTAGTGGACCAGGTTGAGAGCTTCAAGTTCCTTGGTGTCCACATCACCAACAAACTATCATGGTCCAAACACACCAAGACTTATCAATTTTTTACTTAACTTTTTTTAAACTGCATTGTTGGTTAAGGGCTTGTAAGTAAGCATTTCACTGTAATGTCTACACATTTACGTCATTTAGCAGACGCTCTTATCCAAAGCGACTTACAAATTGGTGCATTCACCTTATGATAGCCAGTGGGACAGCCACTTTACAATTATTTAAAAATATATATATTTTACAAATTTGTTAATTCTTAATTTTTATAGTATATTTATAATTTACACCTGTTGTATTTGCCGCATGTGGCAAATACAATTATTTTATTTGAACTAGTGGTATTTTTTTCAAGGATAATGTCGCACTCCAGTGGCTATATCCAGTACCACAGATATTGTACCAAGTTAGATTCAGATGGTGTTTACAGTTTTTCTCAGTCGCTTTGGTGCATTTCTTAGATCAAAAGTGCAATTCTTGATACTACTTGTACAAATTCCAAATCATCTAGTCACTTGTGCACATCATTAAAGCAATTTCTTATTCTTTGAACAAATTGCAATTGCTTTTGTACATATTGAAATTTGATAATGTACAAGTGTCAGCTTTTTTCCACATTTTCAATTGCTCATGTCATGTTGATCAAAATATAGTAGATGGTTCTCTGTTGAATAGTCTTACCCCTCAAAACATCTAGGCATTAGTTCCTTGCATAAGCCATTACATGCAAAATTGTTGAACTATTTGTCATAAACTGTCAAGCATAGTTTTACACATTTCTATTAGACCTTTTGTACAAAAACGTAAATTGCTGAATCGTGCAGGTGAAATTAACCCTCACTCATGAAGGAATGTAAAGTGTTAGTTCAACCAACAATCAACCAGTTGTCTAAATTGCTCAAAGGTGCATCTCATGAAGAATCAATTGGCAAGCATATATAGACAGACCACAACACAGAGTTGCAATTTTCCAATAATGGATGGACCAGGAAACGAACAGGGTCAACAGCCAAGAGGAGGAAGAAGAGGAGCAAGGATGCGTGGTGGAAGGCAAAACAGAGGAAGAGGCAGAAGAGGACATAGGCGCATATCTGATGACATAAGGGCCACTATTGTAGACCATGTTGTCAATCATGGCCTTACAATGGCTGAGGCGGGTCGAAGGGTGCAGCCGAATATTGGGAGATCAACCGTGTCCTCAATAGTACAAACGTTTCGAAGAGAGAACAGGTATGTCCACCAATGTACAGTGCACTGTTACTGTATATAAGCAGTATACTGTATACTTCCTACAATGCTTCATATTACAGTAGTCCACTTGTATTTCACAGCATACAGAAATATACTCTATACAGATACATACTGCACCTTACATGCACCCACCTGTATGTTTTACAGTAAAATGTGTGTTCGCATAGTTTTTGTCTATGTGAAAGTGTGCGATGCATCACTGCATTTTTCCACACATAGGACTGCAAGATTACCTCAAACCGGTGGCAGAGGACGCCTTTTCACACCTCAACAGGAGGAGGCTATTTGCACCATGGTCCGAGCAAACAATGCCATGAGACTCAGGGAAATACAAAGGACCATTATAGAAGAAGACAACGATGTCTTTGAAAACATCCATACGGTTAGCATCTCAACCATCGACAGGGTGCTGCATAGAAACCAGATGAGTATGAAACAGCTGTACCGTGTACCATTCCAAAGGAATGAGGACAGAGTTAAGGAGCTACGGTACCAGTATGTACAGGTAAAACATATATCTATGTAACTACTTTACAGCAACATTTTATAGTGTTACATAGTACAGTAAGCATAAACTGCACACATTTCCATTGCTGTGGAAGGAACATGCAATATATGTACATTTTATGTCACTCTTCCTTACCAAAACAAATTCAACTGTGTGTTCTGGGATATAGCGTATAATGGAGTTGGAATCAAGTGAACCCTCTCACAACTTTGTATACGTGGATGAGGCTGGCTTCAACCTGACCAAATGCAGAAGGCGGGGTCGGAATATCATCGGTCACAGAGCTACTGTGGATTTGCCAGGACAACGGGGAGGAAATATCACCATGTGTGCTGCTATTTCGGAGCATGGTGTCCTAACCCATATCCCCCTTTTAGGGCCATACAACACCCAGCATCTACTCAACTTTTTAGAGACTCTCTACAGGGCTCTCATCCCTGATGATGAGAGGGGTCTGTTTAGAGAGGATTTGCCAAAGTATGTGGTCATTTGTGATAATGTGAGTTTCCATCGATCAAACATCATAAGGCAATGGTTTGTGACCCACCCGAGGATGCTCATAGAATTCCTCCCACCTTATTCACCATTCCTTAACCCAATTGAGGAGTTCTTTTCAGCATGGAGGTGGAAGGTGTACGATCGTCAGCCACACACACAGATGACCCTGCTGGCTGCAATGGATGCAGCATGTGAGGACACCACAGTAGACGCCTGCAGAGGATGGATAAGGCATTCCAAAAGATTCTTTCCACGTTGCATTGGAAGGGAAAATATCCGGTGTGATGTGGATGAGAATATGTGGGCTGACAGACAGGAACGTCTGGATGTGTAGAGACAGCACTAGAACAGTGCTGTGGGCAAAGTTGTGCCTTAGGGGTGGTTTCCTGTGTTTCTTTCTAATTTAGTTTTTTTTCCTTTGTGCCCCTTGGGTTGTCCAGTCTCTTTCAATCAATAACCCACATACAGTAATATGTAAATAGTACTGTTGAAATTGATATATGCCATAGAAGTGCAGCCTTGTGCATTTTCAATACAGTAACTGTCATCCAAACTGTAGCCTAAGTTTACATCAGGTAATACTGTCAAAGTACACAGTTCCATTGACAACATGCCTAAACATTTTGACAACCTTGTTCGTGAACAATGATCAATGACTTATCATTCTGATGACACTGACATGATCATTGGCATGAATATTTACTTTTGAGAGATGTACTAAGGATTTTTAGTGACTGACTAGCTTTAGAAACATATCTATTGTATATTGCAGTTTGTACAAATTGTTCTGAGAAATGCACTTATTATTTTGCACGTTAGGGATGATGTGAAGAATGCACCAAAGCGACTGAGAAAAACTGTAATAGTTACATGTACAGGGTTGCATGTGTGATTGCAGGGTACAGTGGAAATCTTAGGCTTCAAGCTCCAACAAGCAGGACTAAGTGAAATAAAAGAATGAAAATGGTAAATTTTTAAAATAGAAATAGTGCTATAAACATAACTGTGGCAGTGATGAATAAATGTCCATTGGGGTGGAGGCAGAGTAAAGACTGTTGAGGGGGTGGGGGGGGCATACGGGGAGCAGCATGACCATTGAAGGGGTGAGGGGACCAAGTGAAACAAAAAATAATATACATATTAACTGCAACAGTGATGAATGTCATTGGGGTGGGGGCAGAGAAAGTCTGTGGTGGGGGCTAGCTGACTAGTGGTGGCTATTCAGCAGCCTGATGGTCTGAGGGTAGAAACTATTGGCCAGTCTTTCCGTTTTTGCCATGATGCTCCTGTACTGCCCATGTCTGAGTGATTGAAGCAGGGAGAACAGGGCATGGCTTGAGAGGCTGGGATCCCTGATGATCTTCTTAGCCTTCCTGCAACACCTGGAGTTGTAGGTGTCCAGTTGGGCAGGCAGTGTGTACCCAATGGTGCGTTTGGCTGCACGTATCACCCTCTGAAGAGTTATACATTGTGTTCAAGCACAGCTCCCTTGAAAAAGAGGCCTTTGTCTCAATGGGACTCCCTGCTAAAATAACGTCACCAAATAATTTAGAATGTAAAAGGTTTACAAAAAGAAAACTAAGACGCATTCAAGTTTATTGCATTTTTATTTTTATATATTTTTTTCATATAAAATGACAAGGTCCAAGTTGTTTGGAAGCTGAGACCCCTTTACTCCCTACCTGCTATTCTAAGCAACTGGGAAGAAAAATATGGATAATCGATAATATACACCCCATATAGAGAAATGCATAGTGGTCTAGCAAACACCTCCAGTAACTGCCTCCTCCAATGAGGTTAATTTCATCAATTGAGGTCTGTTCAGTTCAATTCAACGTTTGCTCCGTTGCGTGACGGTTTGTCCTGAATGACACGTGTGTACCGTTCTTCAACAGCCTTTGACTTCGGTTTGCTCTCGTTTGGTGGGTGTGACCATTTCAAATCGTAAAACAAGCCTTTCACGTGTTACCCTTTGTCACCAGAAGGGTGTGTCAGAGCGTGACCAAACTCCAGAGTATTCCCTTTCACACACTGCCTCTGATCTAAAGTCAGTTTTGCTCTCTAGCCTGTCCAAACATGATGAGAGGGCAGAGTGAACGCAGGACAGGGCTCCCCGTCTCAGTGAACCTTCAGAGTGGTGGACCTGCTTAGCGAGTAAGACAGAGAGAGCCTGTACACAGTATGCGTGAGCTTTTAGCACTCACTCCATAGGACCGTAGGAGCTACAAACAAGAGTCCCAGTGCAGCGTGAGGTCCGAGCTGTCCAGAAAGTCTGCTGAGAACACACTGGGAGGCGTGTGGGGGCCCAGAGGGGCGAGACTCGTCCCCCCTCCTCCACCACCCATAGAGATGTCCAGCCAGTCCATGCTGTCCAGGGCTGGGTCCCCGAAGTCAAGCCCTGCCGGGTGGGGGGAGAAGCCCAGGTCGCTGGTGTCCATGTCCACCGGGGAGGGGGGATGGTCCAGGATGCTGGAGGTGCTCAACATTTGGCTGTGGAGGTCATCAATCAAAGTTAGGCCTCCATCAGTGCCCGTGGTGCTCTCCAGGAAGTCCTCCAGACGATCACTTCCTGTGCAGGGCGATGGCGAGGGCTGCTCGGAAGGCAAGGCGGGCAGGGAGGGCTCCGGAGGGGGGGTGGGGGGCGAGATGTGGAGAGGGGACGAGGGAGGGGTGGGGGGGTTGGAGTGGATTTGGGCCAGGGAAGGGTCTGGGTTGGCTCGGAATCCAGAGATTTCTGGTTGGGGAAGAGAAAGAAAAAGCATAAATATTAACGATTAAAAAAATGGGTTTGCTCATGTATTGGCAATGAGACATGAAGATATATATGTGAGTGTTACGTTTTGTGTACTGCTCTGTTCTCTTACCTCCACTCTTCAAGAGGATGTCAAACAGATCGTCCATCTGTTGACTGCTCAGCCCGTTCTCCTGGGAGAAGAGGACTTATATTTAGTACAGTTTACAGTACTCATGGCTGTTTAACAAAATCGGCAAACATGTACAGTACTATAGATACTTTGAGCAAATTTGAGATGAGACCGACGCCAACAGGCGGACTGAGACCGACGCCAACAGGCGGACTGAGACCGACGCCAACAGGCGGACTGAGACCGACGCCAACAGGCGGACTGAGACCGACGCCAACAGGCGGACTGAGACCGACGCCAACAGGCGGACTGAGAACGACGCTAACACGCGGACTGAGACCGACGCTAACAGATGGACTGAGACCGACGCTAACAGATGGACTGAGACCGACGCTAACAGATGGACTGAGACCGACGCTAACAGATGGACTGAGACCGACGCTAACAGATGGACTGAGACCGACGCTAACAGGCGGACTGAGACCAACGCTAACAGATGGACTGAGACCGACGCTAACAGATGGACTGAGACCGACGCCAACAGGCGGACTGAGACCGACGCTAACAGGCGGACTGAGACCGACGCTAACAGATGGACTGAGACCGACGCTAACAGATGGACTGAGACCGACAGAAAGAAATAGACGAGAAGCAGGGATAGACAGGAACAGGATAGACAGGATAGACAGGGATAGACAGGGATAGACAGGATAGACGGATGACGGGATAGACCAGGGATAGACAGGATAGACAGGGATAGACAGGATAGACAGGGATAGACAGGATACAGGATAGACAGGGATAGACAGGATAGACAGGGATAGACAGGATAGACAGATAGACAGGGATAGCAGGATAGACGGGATAGACAGAGATAGACAGGGATAGACAGGGATAGACAGGGATAGACAGGGATAGACAGGGATAGACAGGGATAGACAGGGATAGACGGGATAGACAGGGATAGACGGGGATAGACAGGGATAGACAGGGATAGACAGGGATAGACAGGGATAGACAGGGATAGACAGAGATAGACAGGGATAGACAGAGATAGACAGGGATAGACAGGGATAGACAGGGATAGACAGGGATAGACAGGGATAGACAGGGATAGACAGGGATAGACAGGGATAGACAGGGATAGACAGGGATAGACAGGATAGACAGAGATGGCAGGAGTGAAGGACATACTTTGGGGAGTTGAGTGGAGGAGAAAGAGGTCTGTTTTGGAGAGGGAGGGGTGAACAAAGTGTGCCGGTCAAAAGTCGGACACACTTCTCTCTGAAAGGGTGGAAGGAGAGAATAAAGAAGGATGAGGGAAGGGTGAAGGAAATAGGCTACAGAGAAATAATAAATTAATGAAAAGTCAAATACGAGATGTTGACATGCCATGAATGATCATTGCAGAATGTGTCTTACCTTGAGGGAGGGGGGAGGGGTGCTTTGGCTTTCAGACAAGTTGGACACCTCGTCAAAGAAAGGATGGAGATTGGGCGGGGCGGAGACAGACTGACTTGTCTCTGGCACCCCATTGGTCATGCCATTGGTCTCTAGATGTAGACCCACCTTCTGTTCCAGAACGAGAGGGGGAAGCGGAAATTAAATAAGGACAGTCATGATTTTTGTTATCATTTTAAGACGGTGTTAACACGGCCACGCATTCAGATTTAGTCATTCCCTACGCACCCCTAGTCCCTTTAGTTAGAATGCCCAACATCTCATCAGTCAATCACCCCTAACTTTCTATCCAATCAGAGACATTCTCTTTAGCCTGCTAATTGTAAATCTACATAGGCGTACAGAGGCCCATTATCAGCAATAATAAGTGAAAAGTTAGAGGCACCACTGACACATTGGGGCTGCCTTTCACATGTGTTACCCTTTGTCACCAGAAGGGTGTGTCAGAGCGTGACCAAACTCCAGAGTATTCCCTTTCTCACACTGCCTCTGATCTAAAGTCAGTTCTGCTCTCTAGCTCTCAATGTCTACACTGTATTTCTGATCAATTTGATGTTATTTCGAAAACAAGGACATTTCTAAGTGACCCCAAACCTGTTATTATTGCATTTACTTTATGCAGTTTGTTACATTGTACAGCCTACTTGTAACTGTGGCATCTTATTAGAGTTATATTATGGTAGCAGTGTATAGACTGCAGCTATTTATGCTATTCTGGAATATTTATCATTCAGTTAAGTTAGTCATTTTAGTATTGTATTCTGTATAGTAATATATATCTTAGTTAGATTATATTGTATGCATATTTCAGGTCTATCTGTGTATAGCCATACATACCCCTTTTACATATTATTGTGTACTTATAATAGGTTATCTTTTCTACCTTGTAGAACCATTACCTACAGTTACCCATTAAAGAACCCTAAAGATCTCCAGTGTGTTGGTTGATGGTGATGTGTGTGACAAGTCAGTCAAGACAGCATCAATACTGCTCTAGCCGGCAGCCTTGTGGCGATTCAGCATCCAACCCAGCAAACTACTTTAGTCCTCAGAGGGACAGGTTTACACCCTATCCTTGTTTTACAGACAGTATTGGTAGACAGTGACCGCTAATATTGTGTGTGTGTAAGAGAGAGAAAATCTTGTTTCTGTCACGATTTTTTGTAATTTTAATACCTTTTTGATAGGCTGGTTGACGGGGCCTGGTTGTAACTGTTGTTTTGATTGGGTATCAGGGCTGAGTATCTCAGCTGGCAATTGACTGGGGAGCTTGCTTGGAGTTGACTGCAATCGCTAGAGTAAAAAGGGCAGATTTTATTTACCATTGAGTTAACAGGACAAATCAGCTCCGAGCTATTTTACTGCACTGTCCTACCATCTTACACAATCATTTCACCTCCAACATAGAGACCTGTAACACTTATTAGCAGATTTCCAGTGTAACTGTACTGTACCTGCAGTGTGATACGTTGTGATCCACTGGTTTTGCCCAATGAGGTCACGCCATGTTGGCCCTCTGCACTGTTATTGGTCAGTGCTATCAGGTAGTGGTTGCCATTGCCGTCGGTGACCAGGGTGGGCGTGGCGCCCGACTTGAGGAGGTCCAATGAGAAGGTCTGGGCGGGGACCTGGGTGCCATTCTGTTGGCTGATGAAGACTGGAGTGACCTGAAGAGAAAGGAGTAGGGCAGAAGCATATTCAAACACAGGGCCCAGACATGAGCCAATGATAATGACCCAACAGAGAAGGGGAAGAGGTTAGAAACCCATGTCTCCCACATGCCAGACTGTTAGCCTGTTGAGCTAAAGTCTTCAGGTTTCAGACAAGTTTATTCCGTTAAATATGAAATATGGACCTGATGTGTGGCGACTGTCAGCGGTGTGTATACCTATACTGAAGATCTACAGACTGTACGATAGAGAGCTGTAATGACTGAATGTACCTGTTGTGGGGTGACTGTCTGCCTCGGTTGTTTGTCCTGCAGCTGTCTCTGGGCATGTCTCTGCTGCCTCCTCTGCTGGGCCTGCAGCTGTTTGTCCTGCAGCTGTTTGTCCTGCAGCTGTTTGTCCTGCAGCTGTTTCGTCCTGCAGCTGTTCGTCCTGCAGCTGTTTGTCCTGCAGCTGGAGCGGTTTCTGCTGGGTCTGCTGGATGATCAGCTGCTGCTGGAGTAACAACTGGGCCGAAGTCTTCTGCTGCTGCGTCTGCTGTGTCTGATGTTGCTGGAGCTGTTTGGACTGCTGTTGTTGTGTCTGTGGATGTTGTTGTTGTTGTGTCTGTGGAAGTTGTTGTTGTTGTGTCTGTAGAAGTTGTTGTTGTTGTGTCTGTGGATGTTGTTGTTGTGTCTGTAGAAGTTGTTGTTGTTGTGTCTGTAGAAGTTGTTGTTGTTGTTGTGTCTGTGGCAGTTGTGTCTGTTGTTGTGTATGTAGTAGTTGTTGTTGTTGTGTCTGTAGCAGTTGTGTCTGTTGTTGTTGTTGTTGTGTCTGTAGTAGTTGTGTATGTGGTTGTTGTTGTGTCTGTGGTTGTGTCTGTTGTTCAACCTGTATCCGGTGGATCTGCTGCAGTTTGAGCAGGCTCTGCTGAGAGCACTGTGTCGGCTGAGCCTTGCCCACTCCCTCCAGCCCTTCTTCTGTCTCTACCTCCTCCTTAACCCTGGTGACAGAGGGATGGAGGATGGTAGAGGTTTGGGCCTCCTGGGCATAACCGTTCACCACCAAGTCCTGTACTCCCTCCATCTCTCTCACTGCTCCAGTATGTTTCCCCTGCTCCAGTTGGGAGCGCAGGGTCTCCACCAGCCTCTGTTTCTGCCTCAGCATGCGTGTCAGCTCCTCAATCTGCTTGTCCTTCTCCTGAAGCATCTGGTCCTTGTCCAAGGGGGAGGCCTCCATGGTTGCCCCAGCCAGGGGCTCCTGAGGTGGGGCGGCAGGCTGATGCGCGGTGGGAGAAGGCCGGGACTGGGAGAGGCTGCAGGTGGATAAGTGACCCTGGTTCTCCTCTTTGATGGAGGCTGGGGAGGGGTGCAGGCTGAGCTGGGTCAGGGGAGAGCTCACCATCTCGCCAAACACGTCTCCATTACAGCTGGTCTCGTCGGGGCTCATCACCACCAGCGACCATTCTGACGGGGTGGGGGAGACTGGAGGGGAGGAGCTTGTACTGCCAAACCTCATAATACAGGCCGGAGTGGCACTCTGAGCCAATGAGAAAGCGGGTATCTTCCCTGCTGCCTCTTCTGATTGGTGGGTGTGGGGATTGGTCCCGGCCTGGGGGGGGGCAGGACTGGTGGAGCCAGCAGGTTGGGTTGAGGCGTGCGATGGGGTTGGTAGGCTGGGTTTAGGGGATACAGTAGCAGTAACACCAGTTCGACCTCCACTGTTCTGCTCCTGGTAGTTCCTCAGCCTCTCGATCAGGTCCATCTTGGTGCCAGACACGGTCAGACACCGCAGTTTCAGCTCCTGTTTCAGCTCAGCAACCTGGAGGGAAGAAGAAGATGTAAAAGCACAGTTATGATTCTGATCCGTTCTGTCTGTCTGTCTGTCTGTCTCTCTATCTGTCTGTCCCTCTCTGTCTCTCCCTCTCTGTCTGTCCGTCTGTCTCTCCCGCTGTCTGTCTGTCCGTCCCTCTGTCTGTCTGTCTGTCTGTCTGTCTGTCCTTCCGTCTCTCCCTCTCTCCCTCTGTCCGTCTCTCCCTCTGTCCGTCTGTCCATCTCTCCCTCTCTGTGTCTGTCTCTCTGTCTGTCTGTCTGTCTATCTATAGGTGCATAGCAATAGTCTAAAGTTGTTCTCTTCTAATGTCCCTTTCTTTATCTGCACTGATCTGGAATAAATGGACAGGTGAAAAATAAATTCCCAGTAATTATTGTGTCTACACACAGAAGTAGAATTCTATTATAAATTCCCAGTAGGTAGTGTCTACACACATAAGTAGAATTCTATTTCTATGTATTCACCTTGTTGATTTAATCTATGGTGTGTTTCAGATCAATACCGATAGAAAATATTAGTGTATTTCTATAAACATCTACTCACTTTGAAGTCATCCAGGTTGGCTGGTAGCGTCAACGGTTTGGCCCCTCCCACAGGGGTTTGGCTCTGACGACTTGACCCATTCTGATTGGAAGGGGCAGGGGTCGTCGGGGGAACACTGCGCAAAAGGGAGGGGCCGGGGTTGGTTGAAGGTGGCTGCTCTGCAGGTGGTCTGAGGAGAGAAACAACAGAGATGAGTCAGTCCACACACAGGTTGGTGCTGTCACCCTTACTTACACACAAACCATTAGACAGCAGAGAGTGAATGATGTGATGCCTGTTTTCAAAATGCACACATTTACATTTACATTTACGTCATTTAGCAGACGCTCTTATCCAGAGCGACTTACAAATAGGTGCATTCACCTTATAGCCAGTGGGATCACCACTTTACTAATTTTGTATAAATTTTTTATTGTTTCTTTTTTATTTTATAAATTTTTTTTTTGGGGGGGGATGGGGTAGAAGGATTACTTTATCCTATCCCAGGTATTCCTTAAAGAGGTGGGGTTTCAAATGTCTCCGGAAGGTGGTGAGTGACTCCGCTGTCCTGGCGTCGTGAGGGAGCTTGTTCCACCATTGGGGTGCCAGGGCAGCGAACAGTTTTGACTGGGCTGAGCGGGAACTATGCTTCCGCAGAGGTAGGGGAGCCAGCAGGCCAGAGGTGGATGAACGCAGTGCCCTCGTTTGGGTGTAGGGACTGATCAGAGCCTGAAGGTACGGAGGTGCCGTTCCCCTCACAGCTCCGTAGGCAAGCACCATGGTCTTGTAGCAGATGCGAGCTTCAACTGGAAGCCAGTGGAGTGTGCGGAGGAGCGGGGTGACGTGAGAGAACTTGGGAAGGTTGAACACCAGACGGGCTGCGGCATTCTGGATGAGTTGTAGGGGTTTAATGGCACAGGCAGGGAGCCCAGCCAACAGCGAGTTGCAGTAATCCAGACGGGAGATGACAAGTGCCTGGATTAGGACCTGTGCCGCTTCCTGTGTAAGGCAGGGTCCTACTCTCCGAATGTTGTAGAGCATGAACCTACAGGATCGGGTCACCGCCTTGATGTTAGCGGAGAACGACAGGGTGTTGTCCAGGGTCACGCCAAGGCTCTTCGCACTCTGGGAGGAGGACACAACGGAGTTGTCAACCTTGATGGCGAGATCATGGAACAGGCAGTCCTTCCCCGGGAGGAAGAGCAGCTCCGTCTTGCCAAGGTTCAGCTTGAGGTGGTGATCTGTCATCCACACCGCCAATCCCACAACACACACCCACGCCCACAAATATTCTCTCTCCCCCCACACACACACCTCTTTAACCCCACCTCTCCCCCCCCCCCCACACCTCTTCCCCCCCCCCCACCCCACACACACCCCTTTCCCCCCACACACCTCTTCCCCCCACACACACACACCTCTTCCCCCACACACACCTCTTCCCCCCCCCCCCCCACACACACACCTCTTCCCCCCCCACACACACACACACCTCTTTCCCCCCCCACACCACCTCTCCTCCCCCCCCCCCCCCCACACACCACCTCTTCCCCCCCAACACACACACACACACCCTTCCCCCCCCCCACACACACAACACACCTCTTCTCCCACACATACCCTTTCCCCCCCCACACACCCACCTCTCCCCCCCACACACACACCTCTCTCCCCCACACACAACACACCTCTCTCCCCCCCCCCCACACCCACCCCCTCTCTCCCCCCCCACACACACCCCCTCCCCACACACCACACACAGCACCTCTCCCCCCCCCCACACACACACCCACCCCTCTCCCCCCCTCCCCCCACACACACACACCCTCTCTCCCACCCCCCTTCCCCCCCACACCACCCACCTCCTCCCCCCCCACACACCCACCTCTCCCCCCCCACCCCCCCCCCACACACCTCCTCCCCACCCCCCACACCACACACACCCCTCTTCCCCACACACACACACAAAACTCTCCCCCCCCCCCCCTCCCCCCCACACTCACTTGGGTGGTGCAGGAAGAATGGTGTGGTAGTTGTAGTGCTGCTGCTGCTGGTGGAGGATCTGCAGCTGGAGGAAAAGCTGCTGCTGGTGGAGGATCTTGGCGTAGGTGGAGTCCAGCTGAGGGGGAGGCTCCCGGTCAGCCTTCTGGTCCGGAGGGATGTACTGGTGGTACTTGAGCTTCTTCACCTTGGGCTTGTTGTCTTTGGCCTTCTTAGGCCTCAGGAGGGGCCGCTCCGAGCTGGGCTTCGACTGGGAGTGGTGGAAGACAGGCAGATTGGGAGAGGGAGTGAGAAACAGTAAGTAAGATATGATTGCTTGTATACAGAAAGTATTACATTCCATGATACTCTGATAGACAAACGACAGGGGATGTCTCTCACCTTGGTCTGACCAGTAGCAGGGCGGGAAGCTACCGACATCGCTGTCCCATTGGTCAGCCTCTGTGGTGGCAATGAGTCTTGGCCATTCACCAACAGCGGAGGAGGAGGAGGAGGTGGGACCTGGGTAAGGAACTGAGAAAACATCTGATTGGTCAGTTTAAGCGTCAATAATGGGACAACTCCTGTGATTACTTGTCTATGTAAGCATGCAGGAATACCAGTGGCTACATGTCTGTCTCCATTCTGTGGCTATACGTACTGTACAAAAAAGACTTCAACCAACTACCTGTGAGGGGGACATGTCCCTGTTCTGAGTGAGCATGTCAGAGGGGGACAGCTGGGAGAGAGGACCCAGTGGAGAGTCGTGATTGGCTAGCGTATCCGGAGAAAATGCATCACTGCTGTCCTCATCCAATGAGGATTCTCCTGCAGCCTTTGGAGAATCTGAGAGAGACATTTATTAAACCTCTATTTCACCGTTCTTCTCGCCAAACAAATGATTGTCTACAATAACAAGTTGATTTGTTGTGAGGTTGAGTAGCACTACAACAAATATCTGTATTTCAAACAGAGGGAATAGTAATTGCCAATACAAAAAGAGGCGATTTCCAAACAATAATGACTAATGATGGAAGTGGTCACAGTCTCTCCAGCACAAGGATTTAGCAATAACAATGTCCTCACACCAGTCCAGAATTGTGAAATTGATGTATTGCAATGATAACATTTGAGGAACATTTGAACGTGAACCATGAACAGTTATTAATTGAAGATAAAGAGGCCAAGAATTGAAAAAACACTGTAGGGAGTTTGGGAATGGTTGGGTACATTTGTCTGAGTGAGGGACTAATTCTCCTGGCCAGTAAACGTATTGCAGTGGACTGTGCTCAGGAAGGACGCTCCTACCCAGTTGACTAATGTGTTGTTGTGCACATACGCAATAGAAGTTCCACTATATACCCAGTAAAGTGTTGCAATGAGTAGTAGTGTTGTATACTTGATCTGTAATGTATGTTACACTGGACAATAAAAATGGGTACATACCTAGAACAGAAGTGAGTGTTTCAGTGGACATTCTGTGTGTGTGTGTTTGTGTGTACGTACCCAGTAGTGAGTGTGGCAGGGGCCGATGTGTGTGTGTGTTGCAGTGGACAGTGTGTGTGTGTGTTGCAGTGGACAGTGTGTGTGTGTGTTGCAGTGGAAAGTGTGTGTGTGTGTTGCAGTGGAGAGTGTGTGTGTGTGTTGCAGTGGACAGTGTGTGTGTGTGTTGCAGTGGACAGTGTGTGTGTGTGTTGCAGTGGAGAGTGTGTGTGTGTGTTGCAGTGGACAGTGTGTGTGTGTGTTGCAGTGGACAGTGTGTGTGTGTGTTGCAGTGGAGAGTGTGTGTGTGTGTTGCAGTGGACAGTGTGTGTGTGTGTGTTGCAGTGGATAGTGTGTGTGTGTGTTGCAGTGGAGAGTGTGTGTGTGTGTTGCAGTGGACAGTGTGTGTGTGTGTTGCAGTGGACAGTGTGTGTGTGTGTGTTGCAGTGGACAGTGTGTGTGCATACCCAGTAGTGAGTGCTGCAGAGGACAGTCCAGGTCTACAGGCAGGATGTTCTTGTGGATGAGCTCTATAGGACCAGGTCTGTGGGAGATCTTATCATTAAGGTCATCAGCCAGCCTGGCCCTCTTCAGCTGCAGCTGCTTGGCCTGCAGAGACGGCTCCGCTGATGTCTCTGTGTTAAGAGAGAAGAGAAGAAAAAAAAACACTGTATTTGGCCGGTTAGACGTAATGCTAAATTCTCTAAAACGACGTTGAGGCAGCTTATGGTAGAGAAATTAACATTAAATTCTCTGGCAACAGCTCTGGTGGACATTCCTGCAGTCAGCACACCAATTGCATGCACCCTCAAAACTTGAGACATCTATGGCATTGTGTTGTGTGACAAAACTGCACATTTTAGAGTGGCCTTTTGTCCCCAGCACAAGGTGCACCTGTGTAATGATCATGTTGTTTAATCAACTTCTTGATATGCCACACCTGTCAGGTGGATGGATTATCTTGGGAATGGAGAAATGCTCACTAACAGGAATGTAAACAAATGTGTGCACAACATTTAAGAGAAATACGTTTTCTGTGCGTATGGAACATTTCTGGGATCTTTTATTTCAGCTCATGAAACATGGGACCAACACTTTACATGTTGCGTTTATATTTTTGTCCAGTGGCTCACTGCCTCTAGAGAAGTAGTGTGTGTGAGGGTGTAGTTCTGTGGTGATCAGAGAGGGGGTGCTGTGACTCACCCTCCAGTATGTGCATCCTGACCAGCTCTGAGCGCTCAGGACGACTCCTGATCTTCCTCTTCAGATAGTCCTCAGTCTGGAAGGGAGGAGAGGAGAGATAGATGAGAGGAGAGAGGAGAGATACAAAGGGAGAGGGGAGAGGGAGAGATGGAGAGGGGAGAGGGAGAGATGGGGGGAGAGGGAGAGATAGGGGAGGGGGGGAGATATGGGGGAGTGAGAGGAGAGATGAAAGAGACAAAGTTGTAAGGGAGAGGGGAAAGGTGGAAAAGATGAACAGAGAAAGGAACAGGAGATGGAGAAAGAAGCGAGGGAGAGGTGCACTTCAACAAAGACTGCACTTGTTGAACTAAAGAGAGAAAGAGAGCTGGAGAGACTACTAGACTTACCCTGGCTCTCTCCAGACTCCTCCGCTGCTCGTGGAAGGCCGCCGGACTCTTCAGTGCTGTGGTGAGAGAAAAGAATAAAGGAACGGCCGTGAACGAAAACTCCAACAAATGAGTACAGAGTACATCACCACTGGAGACTGACAGTGTGAGAGCTGATATTGAGGAACAGATGCTCAAAACAGAACTCTCTATATGAAAAGGTCACTGGAGTTCTATCCACCAAACAGTAAGAGGAGAAAATAGAACTAGTGAGTGACCTGTTTCAGCACAACAGTGAAGGAGGAACAGCCTGCTATAGCATACGAGAAGTGTACGCATGAGAACCCATAGAACAATCAAAAAAGATCTGAATTACAGTGCAGCCAGGAGCTTTGAGATGAGAGAGCAGTGATGGAACGACTTTCTGAGAGAGGGATTTTCTACATTCATCACTCTCTTCAACTGTATCGGTCTTCAGCATGCCCCTGTGGGTGTGGGTGTGGGTGTGGGTGTGTGTGTCACATCATTCAGAAGTTGGAAAACACAGACACATTAATAAATGTGGACACACAAACACACACACACACGCACACTGGATGGTTGAAGAGGATGTTGGAGGGACACTGGAGATCTCATCACCTTTTGCACAATGTGAGGCCTTAAATCAGCTCAACTGTCAAACAGTGACGTCTGGGCCTGCTGTGTGTGTGTGCATGTTTATTGAGGGACGCAACGCTGGCTTACGGGAAGGAGTCAAGCCGGAGGTCAGGAGGGTCGCAGACTAGCATGCCTAAATACCGGCCTGGGATTCCTGTGATGTAACCAATCACATCAAGTCAACATTTGCCTACAAATACATGCAAATGGATCATGGAGGATCCAGCCTCCTCTGTAATTCAGTCTGCTTTATAGCGCCAACTGCTCTGTGACTGTAAATCCATGGCATGAGCACATTACTGTCTACTAACTCTACAGAACCTTGACGGTAAAGCAGTTTTCTGGTATAGCTTTGGGCCATGGTCATAAGAAGTCCCTTTTAAAGGCTGGTTTGTAATGCCTCGTCCTCCACAAGACGACAACCTGATCCTCAGTAATCTGGCCTAATCTGTAATAAAGACCTGTATGTCTGAGCCAGGCCACAGTGGAGAAACATAGTTCTCCTGGCCTGTTGTTGTTGTGCAATAAGAATGGGAGCACAGGGGAGAGAGAGAGAGAGGTCCATCTTATGGCCAGGTTAGACACTTAAACAATAAGGCCCGAGGGGGTGTTCTATATGGCAAATATACCACAGCTAAGGGCTGTTCTTAGGCACGACGCAATGCAGCGTGCATGGATACAGCCCTTAGCTGTGGTATATTGGCAATCAGTGCCTCTCTCCTGTAAGAAGTAGCCCATGCACTTCCTCCTATCGACAGCTGAACACTGAGTATCCTCAGTCTCTTCAGCTGCTGAACAGAACAGAACAGGAAGTGGACACAGAAGGGGAAGCTGGCTGGCCCACTTGATAATACCTCAGAGCATAACACAACACAAATTACAACACAACACAAATTTCAACACAATGCAAATTAAAACAACACAATGCAAATTAAAACAACACAATGCAAATTAAAACAACACAATGCAAATTAAAACAACACAATGCAAATTAAAACAACACAATGCAAATTACAACAACACAATGCAAATTAAACAACACAATGCAAATTACAATAACACAATGCAAATTACAACAACACAATGCAAATTACAACAACCCATTGCAAATTATAACAACACAACAGGCCTGTCAGTCCAAGGGGACCAGGAACAGACACTGTGCTGGTCAAGCATGCAGAGGGTGACATTCTATTATATTTGCTGGTCTAGACTCTAGAGATAAGGATAGAGAGTTTGGGCACTACTTACGTGGCATGATCCCTTGGCTGACCAGCTCCTCCCGGGTGCGTCTCTGCTGTAGTTTGAGCTGGAGCACTGCATGACGACAGAGAGAGGTAGAGTCAGCAACTGCCAGCATGGAAACAACAACCACCTCTTCAAAACCAGAGTTTCAGGCCCAGACTGCCATCCTACACTGAACAGTCCATCCACATGGCAGAGATCCTTATCCTTGTGTCAACGAACACTGGAGCAGACAGCTGGAGCAGGACTCAATGGACAGAACCAGCTCCCGCTCGCTTTCATTCTCTTTCATTTCCTCCCTCACTCTTAAAAAAAAAAAAAAAAAAAAAGCTGTGGCAGAGGGCAAAGGGAGGGCAGAGTACGGTGGCATTTATTACACACTTCCTGTTTCTAAACTCAAATGGTTGTTGTGTCCGCAGTACGCTTATAAAAACACACAGAGAAGAAATAATGTATGTGTGTCTGTGAGAGAGCGAAAGAGAGAGATAGAGGGGGAGATAGAGAGAGCGAAAGAGAGAGATAGAGGGGGAGATAGAGAGAGCGAAAGAGAGAGAGAGAGCGAATGAGAGAGATAGAGGGGGAGATAGAGAGAGCGAAAGAGAGAAGAGAGCAAAAGAGAGAGATGATTGGTATATATATAGATGCGAAAGAGATAGATAGTTTTTGATAGATATAGCTAAGAGATAGATAAATCGTAAAGATAGATAATGGTTAGATATATAGAGCGAAAGATGAGATGAATGGTAGCTGAGAGAGCGAAAGATAATCTAGGAGGGGTGAGATAGATAGGACAATTGTTGCACCTGACACATCGTCATGACAGAGCGATGCAGGCGGCAATAGTCAGCCTTGTCAGTCAGCAGACTGTTTTCTCACTGTTTTACCACTGCCATTCTTAGGTCGACCTTTTACTATGCATTCTTCACAGTAGCCTGTATTATCAAGCCGAGCTATGGTATGCAATGCATCAATGTGAAGAATGCAGAATGAATTGTTGGTACTGCAAATCTTGCAACAATTAAGGGAAGTAAGCAGGTCCTTATAAGTCTTCCAGTCAGAACAACTGACCTGACCCCCAGTGGATAAAGTACTTAAGTAAAAAAACATTTACTTTTACTTCACTACATTCCTAAAGAATATAATGTACTTTTTACTCCATACATTTTCCCTGACAACCAAAAGTACTCGTTACATTTTGAATGCTTAGCAGGTCAGGAAAATGGTCCAATTCACACTCATCAAGAGAACATCCCTGGTCATCCCTACTGCATCTGATCTGGCGGACTCACTAAACACAAATTCTTCGTTTGTAAATGATGTCTGAGTGACGGAGCGTGCCCCTCACTCTAAAAATTAGTGGTTCAACAAGGGTTCTTCTAAGATCCTTAGGGTTCTTGGCACTGAAAATGGCCCCTAAAAGGTACTTCCAAGAACCCCATAGGAGGTGGGGTTCATCAAGGAACCTCCTTAGTTGGTGGGGGTTCTTGCAGAAACCTAACTGCCAGACTGAAACACTTGGATTTGAATTTGAAAGGACAGCAGGTGCAGGCACTTAACTGAAAAATGTAAAGATCTCCTCAATTTAAGGTAAGGTTCGTCCTGAACCGATCTACATTGATACTGTTTTATGATGATACCATCTTTTCATATTCGGGCAAATCTTTCTAAAACAGAAAATGGACACATTTCAATGGCTATCAATCAACAAAGGTAAGAATATGTTGGCTATGAGAATATGTTGAAGGCTAGCTGTATTGGGCACAGATGACTGAACTGCTCACTTTTGTGTCTGTCTGCAGGTATACAGACAAGGAGGCATACAAAGGCATGTCAATTGGTATTGATATGTTATTCAGATTACATGTACCATCCTCCACCCTTACCTCTTCAATGAAAATCCCATAGGCCTCTACATTATGGACAAGGTACAAGGTATGTGTATGAAAACCATTATCAAAACAGTTTTTCCATTAACATTTACCACAAAAACCAAGGTATGAATACTGTCGTGTGCATGTTTTGTTAAAAATCTGTATAATTAAAACGTTTTGGATTCACTGACTTCACCCTCCCCTATTAATATAACAGAAAACCTGTTCGATCACCATGCACTGCAAAATCATTCTGGCTATGGATACGAAGAACATTAACATCAACATGCCAGAGGATATACCCATTGGACTTGGGGCTTTGCTGGGAGTTCACCTCATATTTAGATTTCTTTATTCTGCTTTGCCACTAAAATCATAATAAACACTGAAAACTAAAATATTGTGTTCTTGTTATGCGCATTATTATTTATAAAAATAGGGAGGGGGGGGGTAGTTCAAAAATGTACCCCAAAAGGTTATTCAAAAGGTTCTTTGAGGATCCATTAAAAGGGGTTCTTTCAAGAACACTTTTAAAAGGGGTTCTTCAAATAACTTATAGGGGTTCCCCAACAGTTTCAATTTGAAGAACCCCTAAAGGATACACCAGGAACTAGTGCTTGCTATCCGTAAATTAAAAAAACAAGAAAATGGTGCCATCTGGTTTGCTTAATATAGGGAATTTGAAATGATTTATACTTTTACTTTTGATACTTAAGTATATTTTAGTAATTACATTTCCTTTTGATACTTAAGTATATTTAAAACCAAATACTTTTAGACTTTTACTCAAGTAGTATTTTACTGGGTGACTTTCACTTTTACTTGAGTAATTTTCTATTAAAAAGGTATCTTTACTTTTACTCAAGTATGAGTAAGTATGGGTACTTATTCCACCACTGCTGACCCCTAACCACCTAAACTACTGTGTGTGTTTGAATCACACTAGATACACATCTCTTGAAAGGACCCAGGCTAAGTGAGTGTCCTGCTTCCCTTCAGTCCAGACCTACATCTAAATACTCTTCCACACCTCTCCTTTCCATCCATGGCGTCATTCCTTCATGACTACTGACATCTGAAAGCAAGGGACACAGTTCTAAGTTCCACCATGAAGATCCCTCTGGATCTGCTGCAGTCATGGAGGAAGTAGGACAAGGAGAGGGCTATTTATTAGAATACTGGGACAAAGCCCAACTCTGGCCCCAGGCCTCCAAAGTTAGAGAGAATGCAGAGAGAGAGAGAGAGAGAGAGAGAGAGAGAGAGAGAGAGAGAGAGAGAGAGAGAGAGAGAGAGAGAGAGAGAGAGAGAGAGAGAGATTGCAGAGAGAGATTGCAGAGAGAGATTGCAGAGAGAGAGAATGCAGAGAGAGAGAGAGAGAATACAGAGAGAGAGAGAGAATGCAGAGAAGAGAGATAGAGAATGCAGAGAGAGAGAGAGAGAATGCAGAGAGAGAGAGAGAGAATGCAGAGAGAGAAAGAGAGAAAATAACAGGGAGGAGGGCCAACATGATCTAATCCCAGTGTGCTCATGTGTCATTAGGTCTAATTAAATATATGTCTGCCACCGTCCCCAAAGGGCCCAGACCTTGCACAGCATAGCCCACACCTACTGTGTGTGCATGCGCACACACACACACAAGCGGTTAAGAGCGTTGGGCCAGTAACCAAAATGTCGCTGGTTCAAATCCCCAAATCTGCCATTCTGCCCTTGAGCAAGGCAATTAACCCCCAACAACAACTGTTCCCCCGAGTGCCGATGACGTTGAATAAGGCAGCCCCCCCGCACCTCTCTAATTCAGAGGGGTTGGGTTTAATGCAGAAGACACATTTCGGTTAAATGCATTCATTTCTGCAACTGACTAGGTATCCCTTCCCCTTTCCCACACACCAACCTAGAAGTGTCCCTTGTAAACTCACATGTGCACACACTTGGCATGGCCATTAGAACAGTTATATTTGCAAAGCGCAGTAATCATCCAATGACCTCACCATTTGGACATTAGCTTGATCATTACACACCACAACCAGGGAGTTACGGAGAAGAATATATGAGGAATGACCAAAGCGAATGCCTTTATTATGATTCACGGCACGCATCAATAAGGAGCAAGAAGGGGTCATATGAAGCTTGACAGAAGTCTGGTCACCATACAGAACCAAACCCAAAGCTTGTGCTAGACCATAAACTTGTGAATTATAACATCTATGGCTAGGCTACATCTAAAATGACAAACACACAAATCAGATCTCCCCTCTCCAGAGTGTCTTCTAACCCCACCCACCTTCTTTTAGTCTTCTAACCCCAGCCACCTTCTTTTAGTCTTCTAACCCCAGCCACCTTCTTTTAGTCTTCTAACCCCAGCCACCTTCTTTTAGTCTTCTAACCCCAGCCACCTTCTTTTAGTCTTCTAACCCCAGCCACCTTCTTTTAGTCTTCTAACCCCACCCACAATATTTCAGTCTTTAACCCCACCCACCTTCTTTTAGGCTGTGATAGGTTTGTCTCTCGTAATCCATCCTCAAATTCTGCTTGTCCAACTCTTCCCCCATTAGAACAGAGTCCAAGGGGGCGGGCTCAAAGGACAGGAAGTGGTTGGTGTCCAGCATTATCATTTAGACTTTCTATTAATTATCTTTGTAAACATTTAATTTTCATACAGAGGTGTCATCGTTCAAGTATTGAATGGACGCTGGTATAGCGGTGGACAATGATATGGAGCGAGAGGCAGACGGGTCTCTAAAAAGAGATCTCGTCTGCAATAGACAAAATCAAGATCGTATTGGCTTTCCTCTCACTAACATCGAGGCAGGGAGAAGACGTTAGTCCAGATAAATTATGACTGTGCTTGTCAAAGATTGATTAAGAAAAAGTAGCTTGAAAATTCTATCGAAAGAGGGGATGTGATTTGATTCAAGAAAGCTTGTGTCGTCTTCTGTCTTCCGGGTCAGAAAGAACCACTATTTTCTTCTCTTTCTCTCCGTCCTTCCCTCGTTTTCTCTTGTCGTGACAGTCAGCTAGGAACGATGGAGCTGCTCTACTAAGGTGTCCAATGAGACGGTGGAAATCGACAGGGTGAAAAAGAGAAAGCACGAGGGAGGAGAGAAAAAGAGGTTAGCAGCAGAGTGGAGAGCCCAGAGAGAGAGAGAGAGAGAGAGAGGAGAGCCCAGAGAGAGAGAGAGAGAGAGAGAGAGAGAGAGAGAGAGGAAGAGACCCAAAGAGAAGAGGAAGAGAGAGAGAGAGAGAGAGAGGAGAGCCCAGAGAGAGAGGAGAGAGAGAGAGAGAGAGAGAGAGAGAGGAGAGCCCAGAGAGAGAGCGAGAGAGAGAGAGAGAGAGAGGAGAAGAGAGAGAGAGAGAGAGAGCCCAGAGAGAGAGGAGAGAGAGAGAGAGCCCAATGAGAGAGAGAGAGAGAGATAGAGAGATAGAGAGAAGCCAGAAGAGAAGAAGACCACTCTGCTTGCGGCTCCTCAGTCACGACACACACAGTTAGCGATAGAGTTCTCCTGCTCCGCTGTTACTGTTACAATCTGAGTCTCTGCCCACATACCTCCCCCCCTCCCATTCCCAGCTCAACCTACAGACCCAGCCTCCCGCCAGAGAAAAGGGTTGTTGATAAACAACAAAAAACACTTAACCCCTGTTAGCGTTATTCTGATGACCTACTTGAAACATTCAGAACGCATGTTAATGGTTTTGATGAGTCATCATTCATAGTTCAAATGCAGGAGACTTTATCCAATCAGTGATGACAATAACAATGACTGAAGTACAACCAGCTTTCTATTTCTCTCAGTACTGTACGTTTTACTCTATGATGGAACATACTGATACATTGAGTATCTATGGATATTCGTGTGATGTGCAAACTTCATGTAGTAGAACAACTGCAAAGGAATACCTCAAGCAACTCCTACATCACATGCTAGAATACAGCGACAGAGATGATCGCAGAATCTACCATTCAACCTTGCCAATTTAGGTTACAGTCAAAGCTATTGCATTTGAGGGGCCCCGTCCACGACCTGATTGAATGCAAAGCCTTTCTCTCCTGTCTGTGGCTCCTCCAGAATGCTGCGGAGGTCCCCCCCATCACCCCACCCAGCACCCCCTTGCTCTCTGTGTTTTAAATAGTAGGGACAGCTGGCCAAAAGGGGGCTATATTCAGCTCGGTTTCATCTGTCCGGGGTCTGGGTATGGTTACTTACAGATCCAAACATCGTGACTCACACACACATTGGTGCGCCCCGGCGTGAACACTCGTGCACACATACTCATTTCAACTTTCACCTGCCGGTGCGTTTTTCCAGCGCGTCCCCATAGGTTCGCCGCTCGCCGACTAATTGACTCGGCTTCATTTTTAGGCTGCAAACGTGTGTGTGTGTAGGTAGTTGCACTGGACTTCTCATGATCCGGCCATGGTGGACAGACTGCCCGTAGAGAACAGAGCTCCACCTTGACCAAAAACAGGACCTAAGTCCACCTAGCTTTAGTGTACCACTTCTTCAACTGAGTCCCGGTCAGGAGGAAAGAAGACTGTCGGACCACTCCAGACACAGAGTAACACATTGACTGTCTTGACCATCATCGCCACTTTACTGTGATCCTCAGAGGAGAGAGGAAGGTTGATGTGTTTATGAGCGGCCCAGCCTAATGTGTGGGAGGTTACAGCAGGGCTGTTTCCCATGGCTTTATGGTACCTGGATTGGAGTGTTAGATCGTCTATCTGAGGCGTTCACAGTCACACTGTCATCAACTATCATTCAGTTCAACCAGCATTGGGGAACATCATGCGCCATGTCTATTTCTATGGCCACAAGAACTGTTCATGACACAAACTGCTCTCACCCCTCTTTTTGCAGTTTTAAAGCTTGTTTTCTTGCAATTCTATACATTTTGCCATGTCTAATGTGTATTTATTTGAGTGACTCAAACATTACAGCAAAATCTATAGGCTAAAAAACCTAGCTAAAAAAAGTTAGCGGACATTTTCTTCTTCTTTTTTCAGGAACTCAGTCCAGCTTTCAACTTACTCTTGATAGTTGTAATAGTAGAATGCACAAGGTGCAATTTCAAAATTGGGTAGTGCATCATCAGTTCCTCTTGTCATGTCAGTCTTTGCATACCTTAGAGAGCTGTTTATAACTTGTCAGGAATGTCCAGATCAAGACTGATGATGCACTACCCAATTTCGAAATTGTACCTTGTGCATTCTACTATTACAACTTTCAAGGGTAAGTTGAAAGCCGGACTGAGTTCCTAAATAAATAAATATATAATAACAATAATATATATTTTTTGTTTATGGGGGGGGGGGACCCCCCATGCCCCCCCTGCTGACCAATTTGGGAACCACTGCATTATAGGACCCCTCAGGCATAGTCTCGCGAAGCCTCGCTCTTGGTTTGATTGAAGAGACTACCTTAGGCCTAGTGTTTCCCACCTACCCCTACCATTGTATTAGGCAGGGCAGGGCCCCTGCCAAGCCAATTGTTGTTTTGACATTTCAGTCATTAAGAAGGCGATCTTACCCAGGGTGCATTCAGCTAAGGAAACAACCACACAGCACCCTCAGTGAAACCCTCTTCTATGTTGTTTCAGCAGGATATAGTATTTCTATGGAGTTCTGAGTAATTCATTGACTCAAACATCCAGGAGAAGTGTGAAGGAACGGTCGGTTGGGCACTGCCACTGACTCCCCCATACCAAGGTCACCTTGCTGGGTCGCCCTGCCCCAGTCCTGGGGAGGAGGAAGAGGAGGGAGAGGCTGGAACGCCTGGAGACACACAGCCACACCGATAACCTTCCACAACCCAGCCTCCTTTCCCTCCATACACGTATGTGCGTACGTACGTGCGTGCGCGTCTGTACCAGCTCTGTTAAGGGTGGGACTGCTACAACCATGTCGGGCGGTAAGGACAGTTCATCCAGAAAACATCCCCCAAAACAAGGGAGTGACAAGAGAACGTAAACGCAGTCATTAAAATTCCTCCAGTGAAAACAGGTGGTTTTTTTCTGCCCTTCCTGTTTCTCCCACGCTTGCAATTCACTGCATAACAAGTATGTTTACATTCTGTGATTCTGGGATGCCCTTCCCTTCCTTCACAACAAACTATAGGCCTAGTACCTCTCTGTTCAGTCAGTCTCTGTACCCATTTCTGAACAGACTGGATATCAATAACAACACCCTGTGGCTGCAGCACTGGAACCAATATCTAACAGATGTGTGTAGTAAAAATCCAGTCGCATAATATGAGCAGTGTTGGGAACAATAATAATAAATTAATAAAATAATAAACACCAACACAAATCTTAAATAGGGTAGTAGCCAGCCACAGAATGCCTTAGACACCCAGGCACGACTATTGCCATTGACGCCTCTCCCAACAGAGGAGGGGGTTGTATGTGGTAAGGCAGGACTGACAGACTCCAACAAAGACCCTGGTTGTGGGTTCATTACCTGTTAGAGGGGTAAGGTGGGATATTATCTGAGGAAGTCTGTTCACCTAAGTGGTGTGTTGTTTTACAAGGTAATCAAAGCAAGGATGATAAGAAACCTAAAGGAACCAGATATAGGCTAACTAGAAGTCCGTCTGCAAGGCAGCACCATGCAGAGTACATAGAAGGGTTTGATTGTGAGCGATAGCAAGCAGATGTGATCAGTGTCAACACTGTGACTCCTCAACACAACATGCCTCACTATTCAGCAAACAGAGTGAGTAAGAGAGAGCAAAGGACAAAGAGGGAAGGAGAGGGAGGGAGGGTGAGGGTGGGAGGGAGGAGGAGGGCGAGGGAGGGAGGGGGGGAGAGATGGAGGGAGGGAGGGAGTGCGAGGGAGCGAGGGAGGGAGGGAGGGAGGGAGGGAGAGGGAGGGAGAGAGCAAGGGAATGGGTTGAGGCTGAGTTTTGGTCAGTGAGAGAGAAAGAAAGAAAGAGCGAGGGAAAGGGGGAGAGAAAGAGGGTTCCTTTTCCAGGCGCTCTGTTTTGGTCATAGTTCTGTTACATAACAGACATCTGAGATCACTTCATTCTGCACCACATAACCCTCTAGCCTAATACACAGAAACAGATTCCATATCATTCCCCTTACAGTTACAGTTCCACCCCTAACGCACCAGCAGGCATGCAGTCTGGAACATGGTTCGGGTTACTTGTGGTGAAGAGAAAATAACAGATTGATTCATTCGGAAAGAAGAGGATGATTCATGTCGTTCTGTCGTATAGGCTAACAATTTAAAAGAGAACAGAGAGCAGCAAAGTCTGATTCATTTTGTGATGGTTATTTATCAAATTACAAGAGTTATTACCGATAAATCTACAATAATCGAGAATTTCAACAAGCATTTTGCTACGGCTGGCCATGCTTTCCACCTGGCTACCACTACCCCGGCCACCAACTCTGCACCCTCCGCTGCAACTTGCCCATGCCCCCCCCGCTTCTCCTTCACACAAATTCAGACAGCTGATGTTCTGAAAGAGCTGCAAAATCTGGACCCCTACAAATCAGCTGGGCTAGACAATCTGGACCCTTTCTTTCTAAAACTAGCCGCCGAAATTGTCGCAACCCCTATTACTAGCCTGTTCAACCTCTCTTTCGTAACATCTGAGATCCCCAGAGATTGGAAAGCTGCCGCGGTCATCCCCCTCTTCAAAGGGGGTGACACTCTAGATCCAAACTGTTACAGACCTATATCCATCCTGCCCTGCCTTTCGAAAGTATTTGAAAGCCAAGTTAACAAACAGATCACCGACCATTTCGAATCCCACCGTTCCTTCTCCGCTATGCAATCCGGTTTCCGAGCTGGTCATGGGTGCACCTCAGCCACGCTCAAGGTCCTAAACTATATTATAACCGCGATCGATAATAGACAGTACTGTGCAGCCGTCTTCATCGA